ATACATATAAATATATATTCTGCTTGTAAATTATGAGATAAGATTCTTTTGTACAAATATGATTTTGTTTTCTTTCTCTTTCTTGTTCCCTTTAGGAATAAAAATAACAACTGAAACTTAGAACAATTTTAAACATCTCATTATACCAGGGATTTTGCAAAAGATAAAATCAACGAATGCAAAGCCATGATGCCACACAGTCCCCTGCACAGACTTGTGAGCAGGCTGTCTGCAGGGTCTTGGAGCCTCAGGGCAGGAAGACTGTCCATTGATCTTACTACTGAATCTTTCCCCCACCCCAGCAGGCTTCCTCAGAATCCTTCCAGATGGATGGGGTCATGAACTGATTTTTAAATATCTCTCAGGAAGGGTATTTCTCACATCCTCTGGCAAACTCAGAACTTCCCCTGGAAGTTCTTCTTTTATTATCCCTGGATCCCTGAGCCCATTAAGTCACCCATAGAGATGTGAAGGACATTTGATTATTATATTATATGTACTCAATTTTTAACTTTTCAAATGCTCTTGTTAAGTGGCTCTTGATCCTTTTATCTTCAAAGCTAAAACTAATCAATAACAATTTTTTCCTCAAATGCTATACATAACTTTTCTTTGCTCTTTTGAAGGTTCACACCTGTTTTTAGAAGACCCTCATTGCAACCCTTGGATGGTATATTAATACAGTGTGCTCTTCCTAGGCACCGCATATTCAAATACTGTCCAAGAATCAAAAATGGACCTCAAGCATATCAGGAAAGCTTGACTGGTCACTATTGCAGTTTTGTCAAACAGAGCTGAGGCAAATCCTAGGGATGGGTATTGAATAACATTGAGAAGAAAGGAGCAGTGATTTTGATTCCGTTACCTCTGCGTGGTGGCTCCCTCTCTCTGCCTTCATTGCAGTTGTTTTTTCATTGCCTTGGCTCTGGCCTATGCTACTGTTTTTCATCCAGGCTCTGTTACCACCATGTGTCAATGAAGTTCACTTATTTTACCTAGCTAATCCTTAGTCATTGAAAAGTCTCTCTTTAGTTTCCAAAGTGGTAACCGACCAGTTGGTGCTAATGCCCCATTCCCACCATCATTTGATTATGGCTTTAACTTTTAAATATGGGAAATTTCAAATATAAATAAAATAAGCAGAATTGCACAATAAACCCTGTTTATCCACCAGCCAACTTCAACAATTATCAGTATTTTTCCATGGTTGTCTCATCTGTACCTCCACCCACACCTCAGACTTCTTTTATTTTAACTATTCTTTTTTTTTCCTTGTAGGTAAAATTTACATAAATTAAAAATCACGAGTCTTAGCTGTACTATTTTGATAATTGGATAAACCTGGTAAAACATACCCTTATCATAGTATAGAATATTTCTAACTCCCCAGAGAGTTCTCTCTCAGGCAATCCTCTCCCATCCTCTTCCAAGACACAACTACAATTCTGAGAGGGTTTTTTTTTTGACATCGGTTTTGCCTGTTCTTGAACTTCTATAAATGGATTCATACAGTATGTAGTTCATGTCCATCTTCTTTTATGCAGCATAATGTCTGCAAAATGCATTCACATTGCTGCCCAAGTCAGCTGTTGCTGTATGAATTCCGTATCACAATTTGTTTACTCTTTCTCTTGGTGATAGATAGTTCAGTTGTTTTCAGTTTTTAAGTATTGTAAATAAAGCTTCTTTGAACACATTTTTACAAGTCATTTTGTGAATATATGTTTTCATTTCTCTTGGATATAGTACCCAGAAGCGGATTGCTAGATCAAAGAGTAATGATACTTTTAGCTCTAAAGTTTTACCTTTTTCCAAAGTAGTTGTACTGTCATTCATTTTTAAATTACACTTTTTTGTTTGTTTTGAATGGGTAATTCAATCAAATGGTCAAACAATCCAAACCATATAGCAGGTATATATAAAGAAGTATTATTTGCATCCTGTCCCTGTCCACATGCACCCCACTAATTTACATTACACCCTACAGGTAATCACTTTCATCAGTTTTTTTTGTCTATTCGAATGTTTTCACGCAATTATGAAAAATATACATGTATTTCTGCCCTCTCCCTTCTAAAACAAAAGGTAGCCTACTACATACCCATTCTGGACTTTCCTGTTTTCAACTAACAACATATCTTGGAGTCTTTCCATATCCGTAAATTGAGAGCTTCCTTTTTTTTTTTTCATAAACAGTGCTCTATTGCTGGCCCCTTGGATTCATTCCAACCTGTTACTATTATATGCAATATAACAGTACTAGCTACATAGCAATATATGTGGGATAAATGTTCAGAATAGTGCTTTAGCCTTATTGGGCCAAAAACGGTAGGTATTTGTCACATTGATAAAAAATTACCAAATTTCTTTTCAAAGTAGTTAATATTTTGTACTCCCACCAGCAATGCCTGAGAGTTCTCCCTGCCCATAGACTTCCTACCACAGCACACTGTGAACCTGGATCTTTGCCATTCTCAAATATTCCTACCTAAGTATTCTGAGCAGCACAGAAAATAAACATGTAATAAACCCACAAGACATGATTTTGTGTAAATTATTAAGAATTTCAAGATGGTAAAAGCATTAAGGCAAGCATGCAGCCTCATGCAACTACACAGACTGTAAATCTGTGGAAATTGTCCTTAGTAGTAAACATCATAAAGAAATCATATATGACACTAATCATATAAATATAGGGCTACCCCTCTCCTTGCCGCACGTGTAAATCACTGAATAATTGTATTGATAGGAACAGGCCAAGTAGAGGCTCAGGCTGGAACAGTCATTGGAAGAAGATCTGCAAGTCCAAATTGCACTTGACTTTTGTCTTAATTTCTGACAATTCGGTGTCCATGAAGAAGCCCGACTTGCCCCTCCTAGAAAGGAGAACAGTGCATGGTTCAATGGGCTTCTTATTGCTTATACAACTTCAGGATACTTATCCTTATGGTACTAGGGAACCTAGGTATTAGTGTCAGTGGGCTGGAAGTAAAGTCACAGGAAATTTTCTGAAACAACTTGGGATGTCACTTCTAGAATAACGGAAGCAGGTTGAGTGGAGGGGAAGAAAAATGTTTGGTAGTTAAATATTTGGAGAGGATAATTACTGAGAGGCCAGTGCTATGTTGATGGCTTTATATACATCATCTGCAGATCTCCTTTCTTAGGGCTGCTTCACAAACAAGAAGAGTTTAAAAAGGAAAAAGAGAGACAGAGACACAGAGACAGACAGACAGAAACATCTACTCAAATAACGGGAAAAATTGAACGGAATCTGCCAAAACAGTTAAAAAATACAGCTAATAGTCCCATGAAGACTATAGCCAGAAAGGCAATGTAATCATATATTAAATCAATCCACTCTTTCAAGATATTATAGTATTTCTAAATGTTAATCTCTGACCTGAGGTGTGACACCTTTCTCTGCTCTTTCACCCCCTCTGCTGGTAGTGCCAAGAAGCAGGCCTCAGATTAAGACACCAGCAGTAACAATGAAGAGGTACAGTGAGATGGATATTTTATGCAGCTGTGCTTCTCAAACTTTAATATGAAGACAGATTTCCTGAGGATTTTGTTAAAATACAGATTCCGATGGGCATGAGGTTCAGCATTTCTAGCAAGCTCCAAGATGGTGCTGGTCCTTGGACCACACTTTTTTTCTAGCAAGGCTTTCTAGCATCAATAATTACCAACACAAAAATGCCTCAGTGAGATGTCCTAGTCTGGTTTGGAACTGATCTCTAAGTAGCTCTACATTCAAACGTTGGTCTCATGTGCAAATTGAACAGTTAAGTTCATTTGGAATATTTCTCCAGGTGCCTCAATGATTTACCTCCATACAAGTCATCAGTTACGTCACGTGGTTTGTTATATTAGAATATTAGAATCTAATTAGGAAATGTTGTGATGAGTTTGCAATATGGAATAAAATTTCTATTTTAGAAGAGACTTTTACCAATCCCTCTCTTTACAAATAAGAAGGCAGAAGCACAAAGAGAGTGTGTGACTTGACCAAGGTCACACAGATGATCAACAGCAGCAAAACTAAAATCAAATTATGCTGACACTGCTTCTTATGCTGTCTGTCCAGATTATTTACCATTTTTCTATTTCTCTGCGGTGACCGGAATAATTTCTGCTGGATCTTATAGGTCATTAAAGGTCTATGTGGCCAGTCATAAAACTCAGGGAACATGACAACATGCATCTCATCGCAACAGTTTTCTTCATTTATCATTCTTTTGTAACAGTATCCCACTCTCTTATCAGTAAAATCAGATTTTAAATATACGTCAGAAGGAAAAAAATACCAGATTATTTCCTATTAACATCAGCTATCTTGGATATTCAATCTTCGTTTCGCTTCATCCTTTCACCTTAATTCAATTTATTAAAACAGGATACATTGGAGCTTAATCAACATCCTTAAATTTCCCACAAACATAACATAAATAAATTCCATGTAGTGAGGAAGAGATTGTTTTTAATAAGTATCTGTTGAATGAATGATCTTCATTTAGATAGATGAATGACTAAAGTTATTGCTATATTCAGGTAAATTCATCATGGCTAGGTAGTAAACCAGAAGACTTGTAAGAACATCAAATGAGATCATGCACAAACTGAGGCTGGCCATGGGCTATGTAATTTCAAGATCTTTTGTCTTCAACATCAAAATTCACTTTAGAGAACTTAAGTGATTTTCATGCGTGACTGAAAGTGGAAGGTGAAATTTCCAAACTGCTCTTTTCATTCCCAACCAAAAGAAAAAAAAAAAAAAAGACACAAGAATATCTAAAATGTTTCCAGGTCTCTGAGGTCTCTCACCCAATACAAGCGCAGAATCCAGATGAGTAAAGTGAGTGGGCGAGGGAAATCATTTGTAACAAAAACTCATTATTTACAGATGAGAAATTTATATTGTCAGCGTAATATCTGTGAGGCTAAACAGAGCTGGAGAGTATATAAAAGCAGTGTGCCTTGATGCAGAAGTGCAGAGCTCAGGACACAGAGCACATCAAAAGTTCCCAAAGAGGGCTTGCTCTCTCTTCACCTCTTCTGTTCCACAGCACACTACTGGAAGGTAAGATGATTATAAGATGTAAAGCCGGTTTTGGGGACAGTTAAGTATTTTTAAGGGATCAAAGTATTATAAATTAAAATGTTGTTCTTTCATCTTAGATTTTATTACTAATAGTACACAGAGAGGAACTGAGATGAAAAAGTTATATCAAATGAATTTACATGTACTTTAATATAGCAAAGCCACAAAGCGAGTTGGAAAATAATTCCATGCAAAAATATAAAATAGAAAAACAAAGATTCAAATCAATGCACTTGTTTTAAGACTTAACTGTTATGAGAATTGTATTTTAAAATAATTGGTAACATTTTGAAGAATAAATATTTTTCTTGGATTTGATAGATGTGTATACTACTTTGAACAGAAGGCGCCTATTAAAGTAAGCAGAAATGTGTCCATTAGGGAGGCTATAACAGAAATTTCTCTTTACCAATTAAAATCTCTGGTTTTCCAAAAGAGTAAAATCAATATCATCTTTCAAATATTCAAATTTCAGACATCTATCAAAAAATCAAAGTCCGTGAAAGCAACTCTTCATAAATAAAACATAGCATACTGGGTGCGGAGAACAAGTATCATCTATTTTGGGGTTTTCTTTGGATGGATCTGAGTGAAGCATAGATTAATAACTATTTACTGTGTATTAAGGATAAATAGTAATAAAATCTAAAGTAGCTACTCTCTGGAATAAAATTTTAGTTTGTCTTTTTAGATTAAGCTCCCAAAGACAAAAAAACAAATTTACAAAGATCTTCGATGGAGTAAATGATTAAGTGGTATATTTTTCCATACATACTGAATACCTATTAGATAAAATGAGCTAACCAGTTTAAAAAAGTATTTATGTGGACTACAATGCCAATGTATTTGGGGATATAATATATGTCTTCTTTTTTAGATCTAAGATTAATCTTTCTGTAAGACTTCCTACTTATTATTGTTACCATACTTTTCTTTAAATTTAAGTGGAAATTTGTAGTTCTTACAAAACTGCAGCCTCTCTTTAAACCTAATGGGGGAAAATTAAGTGGAAATTATTTTCTTATTGAACAGGATTTTGATACTAAAATATCATAAATATTTACTTTCTCAGCCATTGTATTCAAACATTTAATTAACTCTATTCTTTTTTTTTTTTTTTCCAAAATTTGGTAGACTTTCAAAAACAAATAAGTGAGATTTTTAAAGTCAGTTCTTTCTTCAGAAGAAGTCGTTTATTGTTGGTAATATTATTAGATTCAAAACTCTCACTTATTTATGTTGTTTATGGCTGTTCTTTCTTCCATCAGCTCCTGAAGTGACAGAATAACTCCTGCTCTAAGTCTGCCTTAATGGAACATAATAGGAGATACTACAAAATGCTTAGGACTTTGGGTGAAATGAGATATTTAAGAGTAAATTGACAGCTCTCAGTCTTTTACAAGAATTTTCCAACAGTGATATAATTTTAAAAAGAAGTGCTTACTTAATATTTAACTATTCCTGAAAGCATGGATATAACAATTGAGAGTTATAATCAGAAAACACTACCCAAATACATGGCAAGGTTTCCAAAATCTGCCAACTGGTTAAACTGAAGCATAGCAAAATGTCAAATTGGTAATTTAAAGCTGATGAATGAAAAAGGGTAAATATATAATTCCTATTATGTTCCTTTGTCTAAATGTCCATTCAGTCTACAAAAACCCTTAATATTTCAAAGAAAGATGTTACTGCTGCAGGTATTCCAGTCTCTATGTTTTGGTGCCAGAGATAGATAGTAAACACAGCTAAGATGTTAAGGAAAAGATTGATAGTTTAAAATGATGGTATTTGTAAAATTCTTATTCCAAACCAAATGTCATGTGCTAAAAATACTCATTCAAATTATTTATGGATAAACATAATCAAACCTGGATTGAAATGCCCACTTCTCAAAAGAAACACTATTGGGTTTCAAAGTAGCAGAGATCCATAACAAATACTGGACTTGAGGCTCCCATTCAGAAAATAGAAGAGCTTGCTCTGTGGGGACATTTCGTCCCACATACATGTTGGTCCCAGTCCCCATCCACACTGCATCGTCATGTCCTTAACTTACTATGGCTTCTCAAGGCATCTGCTTGTGACGCAAGGATAAGCCATCAGGTGTATCCTATAACCAAGTCTACAGTCTCACCAGCAGTGAATTACATGTCCTCATCTAAGTCCAATTAGAAAACAACCTGGGGACTTCTATGACTTTAGAAGAAAGCTCTCATTTTCTTTTAGATAGTAATCTCTTAGTTTTTTAGTTGTGATTGTTCAGGTTGCCAGAAGCATTAGTTCTTGTTGCAAATTGCTTGTCTTTAAAATGATTTTTTTCCCTTTAATTTAGAACAGGTCAAAGCACCCTAAAATACCTCAAATCTGTTGGCCGCTTTATAATTACAAAGTCTAGACCAAGTTACACTATTTAAAATATAAATGAATAATACATCTGAACCGACAGCTGGTATGCCAAGTTGTAGCCTGAGGCTGCTTTAAGATGGTTGAAATGCAGTATAATGTAAATGCTTGGAAGTGAAGGACTATTAATTGAAAGCCAGACTGATAGTGAGGGGGGTGGCATGATGGATAAGGTGCCATTCAGGCTAACCATATGTAGCGTATCATCTACAGTGGGTATTTTAAATGTTGATTGTGGACATTTTAATTTCCAGTCTGGAAATGAGCCTTCTAATTATTAAACAGAAGTGTCCCTACATTAATGAAAAAGCTTAATGGTGGAACACATCTTTTGTATCCTTTTTTTTGCCTCCAAAAAAATCTAGGGAGAAAAATATAATCCACTCTTTAAAATTAAGCTGGAAATATAATCAGAATAAAACTCATAACACTGGCTTTTTCTTTCTACTTATGATATCTATCTAATCAAATCTAACTAATTTAGACTGACATGTTTAAAAAATGCTTGCTTGTCCCCCTCACCCTACCCCCACTCTGTGTTCTGACAGACAGCAGAAATGAAAAGCATTTACTTCGTGGCTGGATTGTTTGTAATGCTGGTACAAGGCAGCTGGCAACGTTCCCTTCAAGACACAGAGGAGAAATCCAGGTATTAAATCCATAGTCTTGAACTAACATAGTGATATGGTTAGAATAAAGCCTGTGAAAACTATGATTAGTGAATAGGGTCTCAGTAAATATTCTGCACAATGATCAAATGTTTAAAGTATCCTTGTGATAAAAGCAGACTTTGTTGGAGTGTAGATCAGAGTATGTGTTTTTCATAACCAAAGGGGTGAGAAATGTTGAAAAACATGTTACATGGGAAATTATGGCTCTTTGAAATCTTCAGATGATCCTATCTATCAATTCATTACTCACACACTGCATAATAGATTATTTCAATTATTCACATGAACCATTTTCTCTTTTTTCTTCCTTATAAAAATAACACTATTTCTTGCTAAATGTAAAAGCCATACATGTTCCTGACAGAAATTATAAAACATATGCAAAAAATATTAAGAACTCAAAATTCCACTGTCCAAAGAAAGCTAGTCAAAGTAAACAAATCTGGTATATTACTTTCCTGTGTTTTATGTAAACTGTACATGAATGTCTCTCAGCTCATTATACAGCTTTGTATCATTCTTAATATATTAACATTGTTTTATGATACAATTTTATTATATTATTTAAAAATATGTTAAACATATGGTATTTAATAGCTGCATACTATTTCATCTCATAAACATACAATATATTTATTTAACTATTTATTCTGGACGCTTAAGAGGTCTTCACATTTCTTCCACAAAGAATGTTGCAAACAACATTTTATATACACACTTTCCCTACATTTCTTACTATTTTTTGCACATAGGTTTCTAGTTGTAGAAATATTGTGTCAAGGGTCTGAATGAGTTTAAACCTTTTATAATATCTTGCCAACTTGCTTTCCAGAAAGTTCATACACATGCACATTTTCATCAGCAGTCCAGAATCATAATATCCTCCTCAGTATTCAATGTTTGCTAATTTCATAGGTAAAAATAGTATCTCATTTCTAAGTATTAATTACATTGACTATTTTCCCATGTATTTACCATGCCAACCAACTGTTGATTGCTGGCATATGGATTATTCATAATACAGTTTCAAATTAGCAAGTGTCCTTTTTCTTGCCTTTCTTTGAACTTTTAATTGTCTTCCTTCCACTATTAGCCACCATATAACTGGATAATTGTGCTGTTTTCATATTAATATAGGCAAAACAAAATTGGGAACACAAATCTGCTGCCGAAAGAAATGATTTGGGATTCTTCACTCTTCTAAAATATTCAAGTCACTACTCTCTTTTGTCACTATTAGCATAATCATGAGTAGATTAATTAGTAGAAAAAGATTTATTTAATCCTATTTCAGAAAGAAAGAAGCTAGTTGAGTAACCTGTTAGTAGAATCCAGAATAATAGTGTATGCAACTATACTAAAACGATGGGATTCTCATGACAAGCAAAGGAAGATCTGTCTAAACAACCTACTGAAATACTCTGGATGCCTGCCTTATTGTTTTGTTTTGTTGTTGTTGTTGTTGTTGTTGTTGTTGTTGTTGTTTTGAGACAGAGTCCTGCTGCACTGTCGCCCAAGCTGTAGTGCAGTGGCGCGATCTCGGCTTACTGCAATCTTCGCCTCCTGGGTTCAAGCAATTTTCCTGCCTCAGCCTCCCAAGTAGCTGGGCCTTATTGTTTTATATGGTCTTGTATTTTGTAGTGAAGATGCTTCTCAAGTGAGTCTACTCTTGAAGAGAGATTTATGTTGTACCCATGACTGTTCTTCACAGATCATTCTCAGCTTCCCAGACAGACCCGCTCAGTGATCCTGATCAGATGAATGAGGACAAGCGCCACTCACAGGGCACATTCACCAGTGACTACAGCAAGTATCTGGACTCCAGGCGTGCCCAAGATTTTGTGCAGTGGCTGATGAATACCAAGAGGAACAGGTAGGAGTCTAAACCTGGTTCAAAACTTGCACATAAATGTATTAAGTAGGTCTAAAATTTCTCTTGACAGTATTAAGTTCTTATGTTCATCAGATAGTGCCCATAAGCTCTTATAATTTTGAAGATTTTCAGGGTTGGGGATGCTCTCCCTTGTATTATGCCTCTGAATGTCTTGACCCGCACCCCTCTAAACCACGTACTCAATCTCCAGTGTGACATAGACTTTAAATTATTTTCCAGTGGTAGTCCTAGCAATATTTACTTGCTTACTCATTTCCCTTAAAGTGAAAATTTACTTTTGTGGACCTACGAGGTTACCAATCTAATTTTTACCAAAAGATGGAGCAAATATAACATTCTCTTATGGGGTTCAAACCCAACATTAAAATTATCCCCTAGCCAAGGGTAAGGAATGGAAACAGATGCATTCCTTTTCTTGTAGAATAAAATCCAAGACATGCATTTAAAATTACAGCCTAGCTGCACAGCATAGAGAGAGAAGGCAGCAAATAAGAACACAAGCCTATCGTGAGGCATACATTTTAATGTTGGATTTTCTTTGACGAGTGTTGGTTTTTTTGCTGCATCTAGGCTACTGGAGGAAATTAACCGCAAGGGTTTCACAGAGATGGTGGAATTTCACAATTTTTTTGGAGGGTGGCCCACAAGGGGAAGGGAGTTATGCATAGAAAGTAGCTGAAGATATCTAAAAATCAGGAAAAGGACATAGATTTGTCTGGATAGAATGGAGAAGAGAGAGAGTGAGAGTAAGAAATGGGGGGGGGAGGAAAAGAGAGAGACAGAGAGAGAGAGAAGGAGCAAGCAGGAGGAATAGGAGAAATAGAGTTGCTAACCAAAGGTTCCTAAAGTAAAGGGTACAAGCACAGGAAGATGGCAATCATGGTCAAAGCAGACAACGGGAGAGGTCCCTGTTAAGGACTATAGTGAAAAGTGAGAAATCACAAATTTATAAAAATGAAAACAATGGTCCTCATTTTCTAGAATGGGAATGCCACAACTTGGTAAATTGATGTAAAGCAATTCTCACACTCAGGCAGTGTTGGCTATACATTTAAGATGAAGCGATATGGGGTAATATGTGCCAGGGACACTGACAGCAGCTGACGGCTCACCTCCAAGGCGCTCTGCACACCCGTGATGTTGATATGGGGTCATCTTCTTTGCTTTCCTTGTTTCTAGCAGATCACATATTTTCTTTAATCCATTATCATGTGGTCCTTTTTTGGTGACAATTCAAGATGGTCCTTTGCTTTCCCTCAAATCAGTTAACTGATGCTGACCCCATATTTACTAATAACAAACAGCTGCCTTGCTTGCAAGTCGCATAGCACAATGCATAGCCTGTATCCATTGAGACTAAAGTCAAAGGTAAGGCAGTTTTAATAACCAATGGTATGCATAAACCGGGGATTGCAGATGGGTATGCTGGGAAGGGATGGGGAGCTTTAGCCCACTGATTGTAATTTGCCCTCTTCCACCAGTCTTCAATCCAGAACATTAACGTAGCTTCACGACAAATCCCCTAGCAAACTTCATCTCCTAAACTCCCTAACCCCTTCTACATAGAATCCTGAACCCAAAGTTGCCACTGCTTATAGGTGAGAACCATATTGCCAAAGAGACAGATCTTCAATTTAACTTTCACATTTCTTTCAGGAATAACATTGCCAAACGTCATGATGAATTTGAGAGACATGCTGAAGGGACCTTTACCAGTGATGTAAGTTCTTATTTGGAAGGCCAAGCTGCCAAGGAATTCATTGCTTGGCTGGTGAAAGGCCGAGGAAGGCGAGAGTAAGTCTGTACATTCTTATTTGACATTTTTTGCCTTGATGCAGAAAATTTAAGACTACAGTTATCTATATATGGAGTTGAATTATAGAAGCAATTAGTATAGTCTTGCAAAGTAAGGAAATAACTCCTATTGATGAGAAACATTATACAAAAGTCAAGTCTGTTTTGTTTTGGGTAGTATTAATAATAGAGCCAAGCAGGTTACATTTTTATCCCTCTTATAGTTGCATTACAATGAGGTATTAAATATTTAGCCAAACCAGGCCACCTCTGAGAGTAAACAGGGTGTTTTTAATAACTACACTGAAACAAGTTTAAACTAGGACTGTTTACTAAGGAACAGTGCTGAAAACTTCAAATATTTCAAGAAAACATGTAATATTTCAAGCTTAACTTTAAATATTTACATGTGTGATCAACATATATTTATGTGTTGATAAATATTCAGATAAAAATGTGATGAAGACTGAAAGTGACCAAACATAAGACACTGATAAAATAATACTCAAAGTACAGCTAGGTAAAGGCATCCACATATTTAACTACATATCTAATTCTGTATGGGGCTGTCAGATAGAAATTTATTAAATTATCAAAGTTGAAAACGCATCCAAGACCATTAATTGCTTGCTTGGATCTTAACAGAATCAAACAGACCCCCAAACCTTCTCCTTTCCTCCTGATTTATTTTATTGGAATTTGAAATATGAGAGACAGAGAATTTATGTTCGACTCTGATTTTTAAATTTGATTTAAAACAAGCTTACCAAAACTTAAAGAGATCTCAAGATGAAAGAGAACTAGCATAATAGTTGTTTTTTAAAACATTAACAATCAAACTTGTAAAACTAATGGTAAAATAGTTTCTTACTTTTGATGACATTTTGTAGTGTTTTAAAGGAATATGAAAAATTCTACAATGGTAAATCAGTGAAAGAAAATCTAAAACCGACGAAGCTTTAACTCCTTATTGCATTTTGCAAGGCTGTTCCAACAATCTCTGGTTTTGTAGGATATGATATATTCTGTTAAATTATAGACAAATTAATAATCTCAATAATAGTTTTTGTATTGTCAATATACTAAATCTTTGAAACAACCTAGAAGATTGAAAAGGGCATGAAATTATGCAGGTTTGGTATTAGATCTTAGCTCTGCTACTTTCTCTTTCAGGCAGTCACTGGTTCACGTGGGTTTTCATCAGGTGTTTCATAATATTCCCTCTATAAACCTAATTGTTTACTGTTTCCTCAAGACACTTGTGAATGTTATCCATGATGGAAAATCTGTGATCATTTATTTTAAATGTCTAATCAAATGCCAATTTTAACCCTTATTTTCTTAGTTTCCCAGAGGAGGTCGCTATTGTTGAAGAACTTGGCCGCAGACATGCTGATGGTTCTTTCTCTGATGAGATGAACACGATCCTTGATAATCTTGCTGCCAGGGACTTTATAAACTGGTTGATTCAGACCAAAATCACTGACAGGTGACTGCTTTTTAGTTAATTCTGAAAACCATCAAGCTTTCACAAATACTGACTTCACAAATACTGACTGTCATACTGCTACAAATTGTCCTCCACGTAGGGGAAAAGTCTGTAATATCTCACTATATGAGAAATAATTATGCATGTTTAAGTCCTGTAAGAGGACATCATTATGTTTGTTTTGTATCATTATAGTTTTTATCCATTTATTCATTTATTCCAGGAACATTTACTGTCTATTAGAATCAAGAAGCTAGAAACACAGATAGAAATGAAACATTGGAAATGTTACATCATGCACATATTGTCACATTAAAAATTGCTATGTATGCTGAAATTTTAGCACAAAGGTAAAATGAGGTATATGCAATATTACATACTTTATAAGAGGAGTAGTAAAAACTGGAAACCAGAAATACTTATCTTGATGGATTTTGATTTTGTAAAATAATTATTCATAAATCTTTAATTGCTTTGATGGGCAGATTTTAGGATAAATAATCTTTAAATTAAAATACTTTAAGAGTCCATAGGACAGAGGGATTTATAGACAAAGGAATTAGTAAGCAACTTTTATCAAAACAATTCATTGAAATATTTTCTGGATGTTAACTATATCATCTTATTATAGTTATGTTAAATAATTTTCTTTTTTTAATCTCTAGGAAATAAACTATTCAAGATCATCTTCACAACATCACCTGCTAGCCACTTGGGATGTTTGAAATATTAAGTCCTGTAAATTTAAGAGGTGTATTCTGAGGCCATATTGCTTAGCATGCCAATAAATAAATTTTCTTTCAGTGTTGCATAGCCAAAAATTATAAATGGAATAAGCTTTTGTCAAAATATTGCTAAAATATCAGCTTTAAAATGTAAAAGTGCTAGATTCTGTTTTCTTCTTATTTTGGATAAAGTACCCCAACCTGTTTACCTTTAGCAATGAAACTATTTTTCTATGATATAATTTGTAAATGTAAATTATTCCAATCATGACGTATCTGAATTATAATAATAGGAAAAGAGAAGAACTGATAGCCACATTGGTGAAACTGGAAAGATAACTTTCTTCTTGAAACCTTTGTCTTAAAAATAATCAGCTTTCAATGTATCCAAGCAAGACACAATCAAATAAAATTTTCAAGTTTCTTTATCATTGTCTGTTTTGTTTTTATTTCCCCCCTTTTTCATGCCTCACTCCTTCCACACACCCCTGCTTGCTAAGCTGAAGTCCACAAGTCAAATCTGGTGCACAGACATGATGACTTCATGCTTCAAATGGCTGCACAGAACTTTTAACACTTTGAGCCAACATTGAAAAACCAGGGTCTTTCATATAAAACTATTGATTTTTAGCATCTCTTGAAAAAGTAGGTCATCAAGCAATATTAGACCCAAAAGTCAAGTCTATCCTGTAGCTAAGTAGCAGCTGCCTCTTACTAAAGGATCAAGTGTTCCCAGCTCATGAAGTGCCCCAGCACACACCCACACATGCTCACACACCCCACCTACATAATGCAGGCAGACATCAAGGAACTTACCTCTGGCTCACTTTACTTGCACACTGAACCTACAGGCATTTGAGTTTTCCCATCATGCCTTTTACCCTGTTATCTTTATCCTGCAATGGCCAATATCTTGGGACAGTCTGGTGGTGATTGCCAAGCCTGAGACATTTCTTTGCTGTGTTCAGCATTGCCAACTCTCTTTTTCTATCTCTATAGTGCTCCCATAGGGTTGACATACCCACCAGTAAGATTCTATCATTTGCAAATTACTTGTATACTTTGATCAGCAGTAGTGAATTTGAACTAATACCTGTAATAATCACTCTCACTTGTTTACCTAGTGATGAGCTTTTCCTGAAATGGATAGATATCTTAAGACCACAATTGTCTAACTAAGGCTACTGCTAGCTGTAGGATTTTGAGCAGGTCAAATATGCTTTCTGGAACTAAGTTTCTCATGTGAAAATATAAAGTTAAAATTGTCCAGTAACCATTATTTCTTAAAGAAGTCTTTGATTATAACTGTATTTTGCCTTATAATGAGATTTCAGTAAAAATAGCAGCCTGAAGTATTCATCCTAAAATGGTTGTCACAGGGCAGCTCAGGGCAGAAGTGGCCAATGTAAGTATCAAAATTATGTCTGTCAGCTTCTCCAGAACCGAAACCATCATATCTTCCTCCAAAATATCTCAGTGAGGGAGGCTCACAGGCCACACAAGTATATTCTCACAGGAGGGTTTTTGTTTGCTCATTTTCTTACTTTTTTATGTTAAAGATGGCTATGTTGATCATTAAAGTATTCAACTGGTAAGATCAAAATACAATACTTTTCACAGTTCTCACTGAAGGAGTTCAAGATAACTTTCAGATGTTCACTATGTTTTCTTTTGTGCAATGTGCTGCCTTTACCACCCCTACACGAATTAACCACAAGTGGCCTAAAATGTCCTATTTATAACTAAAATTTGATCTGGAAACTGAATATCTACCTCCGTATGCATGCATGCATGGGGCAGGGGCAGGGTGTGTGTGTGTTTTCAGGAAACCAAAGTCAAAACCTTGAGAACATCTCAGAACATACATAGTGAAACACCAGCACTCAGAAATCCAGGTGCGCTCATACAAAGGAGAGAAAGTAGTCCACTTAAGAAAACTGGCACATAGCAGAGGTAAATGGAAGGGAGAAGCATAAGACAGTGAATGTGAATCAAGCTCAAAAGAGTACCAAGGGTCAAAAACAGAACTAGATAAGTCTGTCCTGAAGTTCAAGACGCAAACGACGAGATGTCATTGAGAAAGGAAGCTAAAGAAGTGAGTGAGGATTCAGTCAAGTGTAGAAATTAAGTAGACTCAGTTAGTTGTGTTTGACTGTGTGTAATATAAACCCCATGACAAAGACTAAACTAATAAAAAGGTAATATGTTTCACAAAATCAGAAGCCCAGAGGCAAGAAGACCAAAGGTAAACATGTCAGGGATAGCTCCTAGTCTTTTTCTTTCTGCTCTGCCATCACTAACAAATTACTTTCCTCCCATGGCAACTCCAGACTGAAATGTGTCTGCTCCATCTCTAGCTCTGCTTTCCAGGGAAGATGCAAAAGGAAAAGGAGAAGGAGAAGAAGGAGAAAGAGGAAGAAGATAAAGACAAAAACAAGAAGAAGAAATGTAGGAAAGGAGAACTGACAATCAGCAAGAGGATGTACCAATTTAGAGAAAGCAGAACATTCCCCCAAAATACCAAGTAGATTTTCAGTTATGTCTTGTTGGCCAAAAATGTGTCCCATGACCCATCCTGGCTACAAGGGAGGCTCAGAAATGTCTCTCAGCTGGATATATTGGATCCCATAGAAAATTCAGGATCCTATTGTAAGAATAAGGGAAATAATGAATATTGCATAGACAATTAAAAGGCATATTTCCACAGTCAGAGTTGAAATACCCAGGGTTAATTTCACTGAGTGTCATGTTTGTAGTATGGGGATGTGTTAGCCTGATTTAAGTTCAGGCGGTTTTCCAGAACCGTGGACTCCCTCAGAATGGAATATAAGTAAAGCATCCAACAAAGAAGAGACTGGGCACAGTGACTCACGCCTGTAATCCCAGCACTTTAGGAGGTCGAGGCAAATGGATCATTTGAGGTCAGGAGTTCGAGACCAGCCTGACCAACATGGTGAAACCCTGTCTCTACTAACAATACAAAAGTTAGCTGGGTGTGGTGCTGGGCATCAGTAATCCCAGCTACTCAGGAGGCTGAGGCAGGAGAATCACTTGAACCTGGGAGGCAAAGGTTGCAGTGAGCTGAGATTGCCCTATTGCACTCCAGCCTTGATGACAAGAGAGAAACTCTGTTTAAAAAAAAAAAGAATTATTGAAGAACATTCAGCATAAAACTTGTATGACATTTTATATCCTTAATCGTAGACTAAGATTAAATAATGAACATGAAAGAGTAAAGGAATCAAGTTGAATAAACATATAATATTTTGTTAATAGAAAAGAGGAGGTAGACATTTAAAAATACTCAAAATATATTTTTGAATATGAAATGTCATAGGATTCTTTCTGGAGAAGTCCTCAAAGTATTTCTATGTGACTCATACAAGACCACAGTCTTGATCTTCAAAGAGTGGACCACACAACAGGTCAAGTAGCATCAATATCCACAGGGACACAGTTACAAAATACAGTGTCTGAACCCATCCTAAAAGTCCCATATCAGAATCTACATTTGAATGAGATTCCCCAGTTGAATTATATATGCATTGAGACTGGACATATTCCGGACAGAACAGCTTCTCAAACTCCCCAGTGTTAACATTTTTGCTACATAGTTTCTGTGCTGTGGGGGGAGCTGTTCATTGCAGGCTGTTGGTCAGCATCCCTGGATTATTTGTCATAATCACATGAAAAAAAAAATTATTTGATAGGTAGAATTAGGAATACTCAAGAGTTTTACATTGCAATTATTCCCTTTCTGCTGAGACTGAGTATACAGTATTTGCTGGTTTGTTATTCTTTCTCTATTGCAAATTTTGCAAGTTTTTTGCTTTTATATTCTAGAGTCTGAGCGTTTTTATTTTTTTATTGCATTGTTTCAAATAAAGAATTAGAGATTTTTCACTAAAAAAAAAAAAGAAAATCTGCTCTTCCATATAACCTTTTCCCTACATAATGCAGAATTTTAAAAATTTTGCATTAACAGGTATTTTAAAAATTCTTCTGCAGCCTCCTAATCTGCAGAAGCTGCCTCATTTACCTGCAAGTTTAATACTTTGCATGCTGTATCACCTTTTGAAATACAGAAACCAGTACTAGCTGCAAAGTGTTTAACATTTGCTTGACCTTGGACAATGTATGCCATTCTTTCGCTTTCAACCTCAAAACAGTGCTGTCCACTATGCTTTTAGAAATCAATAGTCATCTCATGAAGCCACAAATTTAGCCGCTTCTTGCACTTATGGACACTAGATAGCACTTCAGTACTACACTTGAGAGCCTTTTTATTTTTTTTCTCGAGACAGGGTCTTGCTCTGTTACCCAGGCAAGACCTGGTGGGAGTGCAGTGGCATAATCATGGCTCACTGCAGCCTTAACTTCCTGGCCCCAAGTGATCCTCCCACCTTAGCCTCTCAAGTAACTGGGACTACAGGTGTGCACCACCTTAGCCAGGTAACTTTCGTATTTCCCCATGTTGCCCTGGCTGGTCTTGAAAGCCAGGTTTGAGTGATCTGCCTGCCTCATCCTTCCAAAGTGCTGGGATTACAGGCAAAAGCCACTGCAACCAGCCAGGAGCCATTTTTAAACAGAAATTACCAAAGTACGAAAAAGTGGTACTGAACTGACTGCTTAAGGGACACTTATTTATCGTATGAGAGCTAAAACAATAAGGCAGAGTGACACCTTTTTTCTGTCTCAGCTGGAATTGTGTGCATTAGGGGACTTAAGTTTTCCACCACTCTACGTGTCTGTGAGTAACCACGAAAGTGCTCTGAGTATTGATTTTAGGTTATAAATAAATTTTAGCGAGTAGGTGAGTTTGCAAATATGGAATCTGTAAATAATGAGGATCAACTGTAGTTCAAACAGAAACCAGAGTAAGGTGGCAGATATAATTCAAAATACAATAAAACTAAACATATTTTGTTGTAAACTAAAGATAAGTGGACTAAATATTCAAATTGAAGACTCAGGTCATCCAAATGAGTACAAACATTCAACCAACAATTACAAGAAGTATGTATATAAAGACATAAAAATGCTTGTATGTCTTTATCAAAATTAAGATTTATTAAAATAAAAAGATTCTAGAATTTATGACATGCAAATACTAACACAAGAAAGCTTATGTGGCTATATTGATATCAGAAAGACTTGTTAACAACATTCTACAGATAAAGAAGAACATTTAAAAATGATAGAAGAATAAATTCACTAGTAATATACAATCATTCTAAATATTTATGTGACAAATAACATAGCTTTAAAAGTAGATGAGGTTTAAAATGGCTGAATTTTTTAAAGTTGACAAATCTGTGACCATAGTGGAAGACTTAAACAACTTGTTTAATATCTGATGGAGAAAACAGAAAAGTCTGTAGGATTCAATAAACACAATCAACAAGATAAACAATATTTAT